CTTTCTACACGATTAAATGTTCCATTTATATGTTGAAGCCCAGAAACATTCAATATCTCACTGCGCTGAGTCATTTCCTGGGAGCATTTTCAAAGCTAAAATTCCACCGAGTGCAGCTGCAACACCTCCCATAGTAAAGGCTGGTAAGTTGCTACTTCCAAATAGTGAATCCAATGGTCCACTTACTAGGGCCACTAACATCTGTTTCAACATTATACTAACTTGTTAATCAAAATTTTCCCATGGTAGATGGTGCAGGAAAGCCATAGAAAATAGGACGAACTTAAGATCAAAGCTCATTGATTATAATTAACCAACCATTATTTGGGGAAAATAGAGTTTTGAATAGTGATTTTTACGAAGAATGTGTGGTTAAAAAGTTGGAAAAATTTTTGGGTTTACATAAACAATATTTTATTTTTCTTAACTATTTTATCTCGATCGAAACCCTATAGCATACAGAATAGTTTTGACTGTTGATGAAGAAAAAGAAATTAATAATCTATTATATAGACTGTATAGTCTAGCCAAATACTAAAAATAGAACATGCAATATATCGTCTAAATATTCAAGCAGGGCGGAGGGAAGGGGGGTAAGTCCATGGATCCAATTTGTTTTTGAATCATGATACATGTACAACATTGGTTGACAACATCCTATTTGAAAACTGTTTTTTACGTTACATATTAAGATTTTGACAACACATGATTGTTAATCATTATTGTCAACCAATGTTGTATATAGAGAAAAAAATTCTTAATGGGAATTTTTTTTTTCAATGTATCAGTCCAGTATAAAAATAATAATAATAAACCAATTATCCCCCTTGACTCCGCCTACGTATTCAAGAACGGAATGATACTTACTTGTGGAATTACAATGGCAAGATTTAGAAGTCCCAACGCGAGCCCTTGAGAAACTCAAAACACCGAAAAAAAATTAAATTAGACAAACTATGCTAATTTTTTGCCATTAATTAATGCAAGTTCTTTAAAAGCATACCTTGACCAG